GCGCGCGCAGGTGCGGCGCGCGCAGGTGCGGCGCGCGCAGGTGCGGCCGGGACCCGGGCCCGGGGTTCCGCCCGCCACCCTCCGAGCGCGCCCTCCATTGGCTGCTCCGCCCACGGGCCGCGCTCCCATTGGCCCCGGATCAGACTGGGGGCGGGCCCGGCTCGCGCGGGGCGAGGGCTGTCTCCAGCCCTCCTGGACTCTGCGACAGAGGCGGGCGGTGAGCGGCAGCCTAGCGGCTGGCCTCCAAGGACGCGCCCGCCCCGAGCCCCTGTAGCCCCGCCGCTCTGGACGCCCGGGTCCCGTTCGGGGTGGCGCTGGGCTCGGGCTGGGGGGCGTGGTGCAGCAGGAGGAGGCTTGCGCAGGCGCGGTCGGCACGCCCGCAGCCCCCGGCAGCCCCCGCGGCCGCGCCCCTCCCCGCCCCGCCCACGCAGGGGAGCCTCCCGGCGGCCCCGCCCCCGCCCGGGCCCGCGGAGGAGGCGGAGGGGGATGACGTCATCGAGCGGGGCGACGGGCATTGGGCGCCATTTTGAAAAGGGGAAAAAAATCCCTCCCCGGCAGCCGCGGCGGCGGCGGCGGCGGCGGCCGGGCTGAGGTGCTCCGGCGGCAGTAGCTCGGCGGCCGCCTCCTTCGTGCGCCGCCGCCTCGGCGCCCGCCCGCCCGCCCGCCCGCCGGCCGGCCATGGCAGGTGAGCGCCCGCGCGGGGCGAGGCGGGCGCTGGGCTGCGGGCGGGGGGCGCGGGCGTGGGCGCGGCGGGCGCGGGGCCCTGACGCGCCCGGTGTGTGTCCGCAGGGGCCGGAGGCGGCGGCTGCCCCGCGGGCGGCAGCGACTTGCAGTGGTGCTTCTCGCAGGTCAAGGGGGCCGTCGACGAGGACGTGGCGGAAGGTAAGGCCGCGCACCTGGGCGGGGGCGGCGCGCTCCCCTCCTCCCGGCCGCGGCCCGGGGAAGCCTGCAGCCCGGGCCGGCGCGGCGTCCGCTCGCGGGGGGGCGCGGGGCCCGGCCGCCGGCCCGGGGGAGGCCCGAGGGTTATGTAAGGGAGCCAAGGTCACCGGGCCTGCGGCGGACTCTGACTCTGCTGGCGGCGCGTCCGGGCTCCTCCCCGCGCGGGTGGCCGCCGCCTGCGTTCGGCGGGGCTGCGGGCGGAGCGGCGGAAAGCGGGGCTCGGGGCGGGTGGCGGGAGGGGCGGGCGGCCGGGCCCGGTGCGGCGCTCTCTGCGGCTCCGACGGCCGCCGCTCGGCTCGCGGGGCGGGCGCTGCCCTCGGGCCTCCGACGCGCGACGCCTTCCGAGCTCGCGGACCCCGCGCGCTGCTCCCCCGGGCGGCAGCCCTGCGGGACCTGGGGCCGGCGTGTCGGCGGGAGCGGCCCGTGAGGCCCGGTCTGCCGTGCTCCCGCGCGCCGGGTCCCTGGAGTGCTCAGCGGCGTCCCCGCGGCCTGTCGCCCCGGCCCCGCCGCCCCTGGCAGGGCGACCCCCGCAGATCCCCCGAGACGGAGCGCGCGCAGGTCGGGAAACACGCAGCGGCGTCGGAGCGGCTGGTGCGAGCGGAGGTTTGGGCGCAAACACGGGGTTACCCCCGCGCTCGTGCGAGCTGCGCGTTCGCGCCGCGTCCGCTGTCCCCGGGAGAGCCCGTCCCGCCGGCGGTGCCCCCTCCGCGCACGCCTGGGCGCTCGGACGCACGGACGGACCGACGAAGTGCCGCGTGCCGGGGCGGGCTTGGCGCTCCGAGCGCGGGGTGCGCGCCGACGTGACTGTTCGCCGAGTCGAGCCGATGGGAACTCTCTGCGGTTGTCTGTCCCGACTTCGCGGTTTTGCACGGACGTGCAAGTTTGCTGTTTCTGGAAGGTTTCTTTGTGGTCGTTACTCGGGCGTCTTCGGCGGCTGCGTGCTCTGAGCGTTCTCTGTCATCACGGGGGCTCCGGCCGCGGTGCTCAGGCGGGGCGCGCGCCCGGACGCCCCTCGTGTCCGTCGCCGGGCTGCGGCCGCGCCCGTGCAGTTGCGCCGTTGCCGGAGAAGTCGTGGGTAGAGGACACGGAACGGCAGCAGCCGGGGGTGGTGGGGCAAGCGGAGCGGAGAAGCCGGTACCGAGCTCGGCCGTGGTGGGGAAACGTTGGCGGGAGGTAGAAGGTGCGGTGATCTGAAGGAGCTTCTCGTGCCCTGGCGTGTGCTTCCGTGTCTTGGTGGAGGTTTGCGGCTTGCGATGCGGTTGCCCGGGTCTGAGCTCTCCGTGGAGGAGCGCCCCTGGACCCGCGCACAGTGGACGTCTTTCTGCCTCCCGAGACCATGGCGCAGGCCGGGGCCCTGTCCGCACTTGGCGAGGGCAGCACCTGGCAGTTCCGGACTCAGTGCTGCGGCCGTGCGTGCAGTGGACTGAGGCTTCTGATTTCTTTGTTGTTTTTGAAACTGATAGTTTGGGGGACTCGAATCATAATCGTGCGGAACCGTGGAAAATGTGATGGCTTTTTCTTTTCCAAGAGTGGGGTTTTGCTTAGGCAGGGGCCAGGTCAGCATAGCACTGTCAGGATTTCTCGTTTCTTGCAACTAGGAGTAGAGCTGTGCTTGGAGGGAACCTGGTTGTTTTCCTGCTGGTGACAAGGTGCAGGGGAGACCGTCCCTGCTCCTCCCCCTGCAGCTTGCTGCTGGCAGCTGTAGTCACCACCCTCAGGTGCACAAGGTGAACTTCTCTGCCCAGGAAAGCAAGAATCAAAACTAAAAACCGGGGCGAGGCTTCCAAAAGGAAGTGAAAAGGGAAGTGGTTTGTTAGCTTGTGCCTTCAAATCCTTATGCTCCAGGCAGTGCGCGCTGTGCGGAAGCTGTTAGGTGTCCGTGCAGATCTCCGTGTGTGCTGCTCAGTCACCACTGCCCAGTCCCTAAGCCCTACGCTCTTTCCTTGGGCGACTTGCACAGATGATGTTTACAGATGCCATATGATACTGTAGTTCTTTGCTGGTGTGTCTCATCCAGCTGGAAGGCTGAGTGTCCCCCCCCCACACACACACCTTGTAGAGGACCCAGTCTGCAGTGCTGCTACCAACAGACAGCGAGTGCTCACTGCTGCGGACGTGGCTCTGTTACCTGCATGTTAGTTCCCGGTTACACGGCCCTTGGAGGGAGGGACTGTTCTTCCCAGTTCTAGATGCAGAAGCCGAGGCACAGAGGGCCATTAACTTGGTCAGCAGCCGCTGTAAGGTCAGAGCCAAGGTTTGAAGCCAGCCTGGCTGGCTCCGGAGGCAGCACTGCTGCAGCCCTCGAGGTGGGATGTGGCTGCCAGCCTGGGGATGGCTCCTTCGAGAGTGTATGAGAGCGCTCACTCGCCAGAGTTGTAGGAAAGCAAATGAAAATGAGATGCCTTGAGACCAAGTGTCTCTCCCAGGTTTGGAAGGTTAGGAACAAGGGTTAAAGCATGGCCATCAAAGAGCAGATGTCACAAAGATGGTTTGATGGGGAGAGCCTGGAACCCCTGGGCACCCAGCCGATGAGGCGGTAATTCTGTGAGTTACTTAAAGCACGATTGTACTCGCTTCTTGCAGGAAAGCTTTGGGTCCTGCTGCCTCTGCCCGTGGATTGTTTTTCCAGAAAAGCTGTGGGGAGGGCTGGAGGAGGGCTTTGTAACCACCTACGACCTGGTTTTATAGCTTTTTGTGTAGCCTGATGACCGCTGGTTCATCATCAGTAATTTTACATGTCTTAACTTTTTACTTGATGGTTTTGTTTTAATCTGTTTCTTAATCCACGATCTGGTCTATGGTCTTGAATTTGACATTCATCTTTTTCTAAAAAGATAATACTAAGTATTAATCTGTAACTCCAGCTTAAGTCTGGGGAGTTGTATAAATCCTATGGGTATCTCAGTGATATGGTCCGGCCTTTCTAAAAGGGTTTATGTAGATATATTATTAAAGGAAAACCTTGAAGTTGGAGAAAGAAACAAAAACTAAGGGCATTTGGGTATCAATATTAAGAAGATACTGTGTTTCATAAGTTTGAACTACATCTGATCTCAGAAATGTTAACTTGTAGGAACCTGTGCTCCCTACAATCAGTGAAATCCAGTATTTGTGAATGCAAAAATCATATTATTTTTAGTGTTGTGGGTTTCTTTTCTTTTCTTTTTTTTTTTTTCCTGTATATAGGAAGTGAACGCTCAGTATTTATCATTGATTTTTTTCTTTTTTTTTTTAATTGTGATGGGACCTGTGTCTGGCTGTTTGAAGTATTCTAATCTGATACATTGTCTACATTCCATTGTAGGGTTCCCATTTACTTTGTATTTGTATCTGTGCCATCCTAAAAGTTCTCCAGGAAAGCATCTTGTGGGGGAAAGCCATGAAACAAGAAAACGATCTACTTACTAACATTCTTGCTGTTTAATTTAGAAGAGAGTTTCATGGGGAGATTGTGCTTGTGGTTTTCTTAAGGTTAAGGCATTTCACATACTTAGGAGCACAGCTACATTGTAATGCTTCTGAAATCAGGCTGCATGTTCAAGAACCTGGGCTGACTGTAGTTATATAGTCAGATGTAAGTATGAGATTTACGGTAATATTAAATCGTACTCCTCATTTTTTTTTTTTAATTCCTTGATTTTAAAAGTCTTGTTTTGGGATGCCTGGGTGGCTCAGTTGGTTAAGCATCTGCCTTTGACTAAGGTCATGATCCCAGGGTCCAGGATTGAGCCCCACATGGGGCTCCCTGCTCAGTGGGGAGGCTACTTCTCCCTCTCTCTCTCTCTGCCTGCTGCTCTCCCTGCTTGTTCTCTCTCTCAAATAAATAAAACCTTAGGGGGGGAAAAACTTTTGTTGGGAAATTCTGGGTTTAGTTCATGTCTGCCATTTATCAGGTGTGAAGGCGTGTTCTGAACCTCAGCTTAATTATCTAGAATAGCAAAAGATTTTTGTTGGGGAGCCTCAGGGTGGCTCAGCTGATTGGGCATCTGCTTTCAGCTCAGGTCATGGTCCCAGAGTCCGGGGATGGAGCCCTGGTTGAGTCCAGCTCCCTGCTCAGCATGGAGTCTGCTTCTCCCTCTGCCTCCCATGCGAGTTCTCTCTCTCAAATAGAGACATAAAATCTTTAATTTAAAAAAAAAATTATTTTTGTTAAGATTAAACAATCTGCAGTGCTTTTGTTTCCTGTAAAGTTTGAGTGCTAGGTATGACTGTTAATTAATTCTCATGTATTTTAGGGTGTTTGGGTTTGGTTGTAGCTGTTCTTAGACCTAAAAATCACAGTTTCTTGATTTTTTTTTCCTGATTTCCCCCCAGTCTCTTCATTCTTCCTAGATCCCTTCAGTTAAGCCTAACCACTTGGCTCTTGTATTATTACTCAGGGTTCCTTTCTTGCTTGTACTTCTTTCCTCATACTCTATGACCCTTGCTCTTGTTTCTTTCCCAACCAAGAATATTCTTCGCGTTTCCTGCCTACCTTCCACACCCTACCAGTCCTTCCACCGTCTGCTTTCTCTCCCCAGTTTTAGTGCATGGGTCAGTCTTGTCTCTTCAACTTGTTACTCAGGATATGGAAAGGCAAATCCCATTTCGATTGTCTTACTAGCTTTGTGTTAACTTGAGAGGTTACTTACCGTGTGGTTTTTCATCTGTACAGTCGGGGTACTGTTCCCTATGGCAGTGACAGGTTGTTAGGAAGATTCCACACAAATGCAGGGAAAGCTCTGGCGAACAGGCACACGCGGTAACTGGTAACTGTGGGAATGTTGTCCTAAGAACTTATTCTGTGTTGCTTCCAGGAGCCAACTGAAGAAAAGGAATGGTGTTATCAGTGCTGCTTTCAGCTTAGCTCATCTGAAAGTTCACAACTATGTCCTCAGGGGCAGCTGGTGTGGGTGTTGGATTAGAGGAACCCTGTTCCTGCCTCGAGAAACCCTCTGGTGAGA